TTTTGCTGACATGACTGAAAGTGAATTCATACAAGATCTCTTTGTAAATAATGTCCTCCCATCCTCTATTTTGCTGACATGACTGAAAGTGAATTCATACAAGATCTCTTTGTAAATAATGTCCTCCCATCCTCTAGTATGCTGACATGACTGAAAGTGAATTCATACAAGATCTCTTTGTACATAATGCCCCCCCCCTTCCTCTAGTATGCTGACATGACTGAAAGCGAATTCATACAAGATCTCTTTGTACATAATGCCCCCCTCTAGTAGCACAGCAGTATGTCTGTGGACTTACAATGCTAGAAACCTGGTTTTGTTACCCATAGCTGGCAGAGCACAGATAGCCCATTGTTTATTTCAATATAAGGGAAAGTTAATAATTGTTGACCATTTTTGTTGTGTGTGTATTCATATTATTTTTTTAGACTTAGTGGAGAGAGTAGTTGGTGAAATTCCTACATATAATTAAATTGTCATGTGTACGTTTTCAAAACTTTTACCACAAAGATACTTTACTAAAGTGTATTTTAAATGATAGAGTAATTAAGTTTATTTTTCACATGTTTTTTATTACTCCAGTTAATAAAGTATCATCACCATGTATTGTGTGTATCTAATGAAATTGAGTTAATTAATTGTCATGGACATCTATCCTTCTGTTGTTGTGATTCTATTGCCTTTGCTGATATAGCAATGGTTTAGTGTTAAAGTGTAATTCAAAAACTCTACGAGATAATTCATATGAATGTATACATTTTTCAGTAAATCAAAGAAATTTCCCAAATAAAAAAGTAAAAAACTATACATTTATATGGCCTACTCAGTATATGTATAAAATATAACATTTTTCTTTATTTCACAATTGTAGTATTTCACAATACTAGATCTTATAAACATTAATTTGGTATAGTTTATAAAACACCATACTTTAACTGTTTCAAAGTATGATTATAATTAATTATATTTGTCGTAAGACAGTAGTATTAGGCTTCTTGTATTTTTAAACACTGTGTTCTCTATTTGGTCCCTTGGGGTTTTTACAAGAAGAGTGTACAATATTTTATGATGAATATAATTGATTATAATCGTATTTTGTCAGCTTAAAAATGTTTATTCACACCATAACAGTTGTTTCAAACTTTGTGTTTCTATTCAATTGTAGTGTGGATTTTTTGCAAGGCCATTACATCAATATACAGTGGTGCCAAAAGAAGAAAAAAGTGTGAATAATCACCCAGAAACATCATGAATAAAAAATCATTATTATTTAATTCTGTGTGATAAGTTTGATATAGTTGTATGATAGTCGCATCGAGTCAACATTTGTGTGTTTTAAGACAAACTGAATTGTACATGCTAGCAGATCACACCATATGATATCTTATCTCCATTAGATTGTTGTCTCTTAAAAATTATTTTTCTGCTTGTTTAAAAATAAAAATATATATCAATATTTAATTTCAGACTTTAAGCTCTGTCTGTTAATTGATAAACAGTGTAACCAAGTGACATTAAATATGTTATCTTTTGCTTTAAGAAACAGAGATTGAGCATGTTTTGCTTGACTGTTGGTGAGTTGAGTGAGTAATTCATGCCAGGCTTTCTGAAAGACATACTTCTATAAGGTCACAATAATAACAAGAAAAAGACCAGCTTTTTTGTGGCCTCATTGAATGTTTTACATAAAAGTGCATATGCACACATGTAAATGGTTCCTAATGACTTGTTTAACCAAAGTTGGGAAAGTCTTATGAATTTTTTACAGATCTATGTTTTGTGATTGAGTATCAAAGTTGTATGTATGTATGTATGTATATGTGTGTGTGTGTGTGACATAATTGTATCAGTTTCTAGAATTTCAAGGTTGTAAAGTCTAAACATCCAATGCATTAAAAAATGACTTTCGTGTTTATATATGTTGTTAAACATTTGAGATACCTAAGAATATTTACTATAAACAAATTTGTGCCAAAACAAGCACTTTTACATCCATTAAGTATTGCTTTACATTGGAAATATTATTGTGAAATACAAATTAAGAAAAAATTGGTCAGCAGAATCATTTCTGGTATATTTTACCGACTGTCTTCTGAAAACATGTGATCTGTAATAGGTTCTTTTAAATAATATCAAGGATTACATATAACCATTTTATTTCTAGTGACCATTCTGTATATGGAAGATGTACAAGCAATTATTTATTAATTTATATAGGCTGAATTTAGTTCATTATATTTGCATTAAAAAATGTGTATAAGGTTTCAAGAGAAAAACTTTGTTGTGTGTTTGGCTTCATGAAAGAAAAATTACACTTGTTATGTAAAGTTGTTCCAGATATGGTAAATCTTTAAAACTTTAATAATTATTAAAAATTCCATAATTTGAGTTGCTGTTGACCTGCAACCGTCCACTCGTAAAGAGCCCCATTTTGCTTCAAGTATGAAAGGCACTTGGGTATGTAAGCAGAATATATTTGTTATAATCTTAAAATTATGTTTACTAATATATCTTATTAAAGTATATACATGTTAGTATCTTTTAGGTCTCATCATACAATAGATATTAAAAAATCTTAATCTCGCTTTTTTTTGGTTATGTAAAATAATATTTCTGTTTGACATTTATGGTATATTACCAAATTCTTTACCTAATGTGCACTATTAAAAAAAATGATGAAAGAATGTATCTTGATAGCATGGATATATGTTTATAACCCTGATTATATATGAATAAATGTTAAGTAACACCACTTTGTCAAATGAGGAGAAATTTCCAATATGAAATCTCTTGTTGAATCTCTAATTTTTTAATACCCTGACTGAATTATTATTTAATCTGTTTATATCTTAATCCATTATTAGTAAATAAATCCAAAGGAAATTAAATCATTATAGTTAAATTCCCAGACACTATGACTTTCTCTTTGTAAATGAGCTTTAGAATGTTTGCTTCCATTTCTAGCTGCTAATTCAGCAGTTGGCAGTTTTTGGTACCCTTCTTCCAGATTACGTAAGACTGTTGTTAAACAATATTGCTCAGCAACTTTATCAGAACTTTCAGCTAAGCTAAACAGCTGTTACTAATTTAGCAAAATATTTGTTGTCTATTATTCAAAGCAAAAGTACAATGAAAAATGTTAATTAATATTTTTTTTAGCAACCCTGGGGCTTATTCAAACTCTTATCTAGTGTTTTATGTTTTTTTTCCCCTTAGATTGCAAGAATAAATTCTCCAAACCATTCTGAATTTGTATAAGTATTAATATTGACATGCTTGTCCATTGGATTTAGTTTAACAAACTAACATTCATTGAATACATTACTTTATCTAATCAGATTTAGTTCAGGGTTAAGAAACATAATAAATGTAGTGTACTAGTTTAACTCTGTTCATCCCTCTATTGCTATTATTTTGTAAATACAATGTATTTACATTTCACAAATATTTTGAGTGTGTATGTAATATGTAGTCTTCAGATTGTTCGATATTTGTTTCATATGAATTTTTATCAAATGTATTGCAAGTCTGCAAAGTTAAAAACTCAAACCAACTGTGTGTTTTGCTTGTACATTATATTCTTCTATATTTTACATAAAGTATACATATTATTTTTTGAGAAATTACTATTTAATTTGAATGTGTGTAATAATTTCCAGCCACTTTTTCATCTTTAATTCGTTTTATATTTTGTAATTAATTCTTTGCAAGTTTCATAGATAAGAAAATCTTTGGTAATACACACTCATGAGCTATGTAAGCAGGAGTTGGTTTAAGTGTGTGTGTAATCTTGGTGATTGTGAAGTAACAAAAATAATTATAACCTACAAGTTATTTGAGAGGATGTTTAATCTGTCATGTTATGATTAGTGTAAATAGGTAAGTTTAGTCATTTTTATTAGGTCAACTAAGAATAAAGTACTGTTACTTGTGTGAAATTAATTAAAGTTAATATACTGCTGGTTTTTATGGGCAGTAGTTAATTAAATTATGTGGTGTTTATCTTAGATCACTGTAAATGTAAACAAATGAAAGTAAGATTATGTATTGCCTCAAATGTTGTTTTGAATCCAGAATGTTTGCAAATAAATTAAGTACCAACATTATTAGTGATATTCAAAGAGCATTGAAAAAGAAGCACAGTTTTTGTGTTGAATCTTGGAAGTAAGAAAGTAAACAATTTATTAGTAGGACGTGAGAATCCAATTATGTTCTTAACTTGGGAAGTGGATAGTTCATTACATAAAGTTTTAGAAACGACTCACAAAAATACTTTTTCAGTTATGCTATTTACAATTTGTTTATTTCTGGTTAGTGAATCACCAGATCAAGTAGGCATTTGAATGCTTCACATGTAAAAACTTGCAAGTTTTATTATTTCAAATTATAAATGATGCAGGGAACAGTCTAATTCGTTATCATATACTTAAATAGAATAGACAGTTAGTAAAATTGTACTTGTAACAGCAAATATGGACACCTATTTTAATACTCGCAGCCAATTTAATGTTATTGTATGTTAATTTTTATTATCACTCAATCTAGTGAATGTGAATGTTTTAGTTACTCATGAAGAAAAGTCATTTTGAATGTCATTACTAGATATTTCTCTGCAATTTTCTAATATTTTGTAATGTTTCCAGTGACATCTTTTTTTGGTTAATTCAATTTGTTGTGGATATCTCTGTGTCAATTTTTATAAACTTTCAGATTCATGTATATGTATTCAAATATTGAGGATTTCCCATCATACACCTCAGTTAACCAAAATGAACTTTATTTTAATTCTGATTTATATTTATCCTTTCTGTAACCAGATTCACTTATCAATACCTCCTGAACACAAAATTATAATTATGTGAGTTTAACAATCGATAATTTTTATGGCAAGAAGTATTTTATATTTTTTTCTCTATATACATTTTATTGTTTTTATTAACCATGTCTTAAAATGTAAAAATAATGTTCTAGTTGTAGTAAGGGGAATCAAACAATACTGTTAAATGGTAACAAGATATTCTACAGTAGAACTTGTTAATGATCATATTTCACCAGCATATAGCTAACTTTTAACACTTTTCTTAATACACCTGACCTCTCTACTATATAAATCATTCCAAGCATCAGGAATTGTTTTCAAAATGTTCCATTTTCCCTTATTTTTTCCCACGGAAATTGAATATTACTTTACCATGTTTTGTCACATTTTTGTTTCTCAAAACTAGGATGGTCTTAGAGCCTCAAGTTTATAACATTTATTGAGATATTTTTACTATAAAATTTTTAACTTTTATGATACTCTTTGTATACTCTGTTGTGTGTAAAAATCCTTCCTAAATATTCCAGTCTTTGGGGCCTTTCAAAACTTGGTCACACTTCTGGTTTAAATTATTTAGCTAATTTTAACAATGCATAACTGTTAATTGACAAACAAAGAAAAAAAGATACACAAAATAAATGGATTGAAAATTTTCCATTTCATATTTACTTTGGTAACTATGAGTTTCATGTTTCAACCTTCATATTTGAAAGTATTTCTATTTTATATGTTGTACAGAGTGATTGAAAAGGAGGATTCATATTGCATATAGATTAATGTCTGATGCTGAAATACATTTTTGTTTTAAATATAAAATTGTCTCAACTCTTGCTTACACTGTCCTATTTGTGTGAATTGTACTTTTACTTTATGGGTAAAGATTGCCAATAAAGTGACCAGTGTAAAGTAAAAGACCATAGATGTGCACTTTCTCAAGATATTTTGTATTTAAATCTACATCAATACTTTGCCAGAGTTAATTTTATTACTAGACCCTTAGTTCACAAGAATTTGAAATATTTTCAGCAATTTTTTTGTTAATTAGATTTTCCAAATTGATTTATAAAAAAAAAATGTTTACAATGATTCAAAGAATCAGTATTTACTTATTAAATGCTTAATATGGTTGTGAATATATGAAAGAAATTTCACAGAATGCTCTTTTACATGACAATCTTTAATACCTGTTTCTGCAAAAAAATGCAAAAAATCACCAGCTACAGATTTACATTGGCCATATATTTAAAAAAGCTTATAAGCTGCATTTGCTACATCTAACAATTTTTTTCAGTAGTTCCATAGAATGCTAAATTTAATAATATTAACCAGTAAGGCACACTGTACAAACATCAGTAGCTTGTACAGTATTCCCAGATAATCTTCCAAGAAAATGTATTAAATATAGCCCCTCCCAAGGAAAGAAAATTAGCTTAACATTTGCATGTGCCTTTTGAAGACTTGTG